ACGCCCCGCCGTGCATCGCCTGCCCGGGGCTGTGGGGAGCTCTTCGTTGGTGGTGGTCCCTGGGGACGCGTCTCGGCCTGAACAGGGCTGGGCACAAGTACCTGCGTTAGCTCTCTGACCTGTCAGCCTACCCGCAAGTAATCCCTCCGGGAAGGGCTGAAGAGCTCGGGTTTGGATCTGGTGTGAGAGGTTGGTGGTTAGATGCCGAGGAGGACGTAAATAAGGTGCGGTGGAAGGAGAGGGGTAAAGACACCCAGTTTCTGGTGAGGCGAGGCAAGGATAGCAAGCTGATAGAGCACAACCAAGAGCCAGCTCCTTTATGAAGACACTCACGTAGGTGAGTAGACCCAGCCGTCAGAAAAGGCCGTATGTCAGTAGATAGCGTTCTACCGCTTGAACGTTGGGTAAACGTCCACTTACTGGACAGGCTTCTGCATCGGCTTCCTTTTATCATTTTCACTGTGCATGTTTAAATACTTGCCTGAGTAAGGAATGATGCTTGACAGCTTTCCGAGCCTCAGCAACGTTAAACTATTTCTAGGTGTGATTAGTGAGAAGAGTACTAACGAAAAGATCAAAAAAGTGAGTAGGAAGTAGGTTATTTTCTGGATCTCTTGTTTGTTTAGAGTATGTTTTGCTTGTAAAAATACTGGAATTCACTTCTTAGATGGTACCTGACCCACAGAGTCATTTGTACATCCCATTTCCATGGTGGGAGGCATAAAGCTAGGGTGAACTGAAGTCTGTTCCTGTTGGTTTCCAAGGGGAGACAAAGTATTTTTGAAAATGTCGCCCAATATGCAAAAGTCACACTGGGGAGAAGAGTTTTAGTTTAAACACTGTTTAATGTAACATGCCTGATTTCTAATTCCTTTCTTCAAAAGTTTGCAGAGCATTGTGGCTATTAATTGCTAAAAATCCCTCAATATCAGTTGCTTTTGCTTGTCCTGTATGAACAGGTGATATAATTTGTACAATATTTGTTCTAGTTCTTGGTGCCCTTCTTTTAAAACGTGATTAATTTTTTTTTAAACTCTGAAACGGTATGCTGAAGATTTCATTCAGCACTGTAATCATTCATGGAGTGTTGTTTTATTTAGAAGCTAAGGCTATCAGGTGGTGACAAATGATGTATAGCTAATGCGCTGCGTAGTAGGGATGAATAACTATGCTGTATGCACTGTTTCAAACAACTGCTGGATCCTAGACATTTTTGGGTTTAGGGGAGATGTGAAAGATTGTTGGAGATGCAGATCAATTTTTGAACTGGAGAGGTGAACTGTCTGGAACTGTTAAGGGAACCACTGAAAGCTTGCTCTGGTAAGGTCATCGATGTAGAAAAAAATTTGGATAAATGAAGCTTCATCCCTTGTTCTGCCAAGAAAACTGAACCGAAAACTATGTGAAATAACACAGAAATAGAGTTTTTCTTAAATTGAGAGCTCTTGTATGGCATTTCCAATGAACTGAAAGCATCTGGTAAAACAGTTATGTAGAGCTAAATGCTGAATGGTTCTTTCATACATATCTGTGTCCTTTATTTGCATGCACATGCTCATTCTGCGGATACTAATGTGAAAAATCCTCTATTCTTCAGTTGGGTTGCTTGAGAGTGCTATAAGTATATGAGGGCAAAATCAGTGTGGTGTTACTCACTGCTCGTCTTTTCCCTTTTCTTCCCTCAGTTTCAGACTTCTCACCCATCCAGTCAAAGGATAAAGCAATGTGGTGTAGAGAACTCATCTCACACCTGCAGTTAATTCAGATGAGACTCTCTGAAACGTGTGGGTTTCTAAAATCTCTGTGTGAATAAATGTTTTCTCAGACACCAGGGCTGATTCAGGAATGATTTATGAGTAGCAAGGAGGTCTATGCGATAGGTAATGTATTTTCAATCTGACTGGACTTACCCAGAATTTTGCTAAATGAAGATTTTTATTTGTGCCTTATGCAACCTGTCCAAGCTGTCAGCAGTGAAAAAGTTGCAGAATCTGTGATGATCATAGATGCTTTTTCCCAACAGATAATTACAGTTATGACAAAAGTTACATTTATCTCAGATGTTTTCTAAACAAACACTGTACATTTCAGAAAGGTCTCTGAGAGGCCAGCTGAGGCAAAAAAAGAGGGTGGAGGAGGAGGAAGTGCTGGCTGACTCCTGGAGACATTTTAGAGAAGAGGTATGAGGAAATGAGCATGTAGTTTTTCTGGAGAGGTATGTAGGAATCCAGTAAAGAGTGAAGTCTGATATTTCATCTTAAGAATCAGAAGTTGCACCATTTTTTATTAAATCATTTCTTCTTATCACCTCTTCTCTCACCTGTCGTTTCTTGACTTCAATTATGAAAAGCTTCTTTGGCAGTCCAGCTGTGTTCCTTTGTTCCTTTTTAATACGGATCTTTCTTCTGCCTGTTCTGTCTAGGGTCCAAAAGCTTCCTTAGTTTTGAGTGTTTAAAAGCTTAAAATGGTGGAGTGCTCTCTGTGCAGGGAAACTACTTCACCTGATCGGCAATGTAGGATGGCAGGGGCAAATATATCTTAGGAAATGTGAAGATGAACTGAGTACGCAGAGACTAAAATAATGTGAATTTCTTATGTACTTAAGTAGTAATTTTGGTAAGCTTCACCGATATTTATCCAAGCTTTGTTTGTTGTCTGTCTTACAGCAACATGTTATCCAAAATGCAAAAATGGTGGGGAGTGCCTCAGACCTGGAAAATGCAGGTGTCCACCTGGCTATGGGGGTAGATACTGTCATAAAGGTGAGTAAGACCCAAACAAGTGATAGCTTGGAAAGACAAGGAGTTTGAAAACAGACAAAATTAATTTGGGACTCCTCAAGTCCAGGATCTAATGCACTTTGAAATAATCACCTTAATTCCTTAGACCTCTGACCTTACTGTCAAAAAGTGCATGGCTTAGAGGATCTGCATGCTTGCAGGAGAATGGGGTGGAGTATACGTACTGAAATGTGTTGTGAGAATCTGAGAGAATTTTGTCCCTTGGAAAATACCTTGTTTATGTGTTATGTAAATATTCTGTTTAGCTCTATAACAGACTCTTTCTAAATAATTTAATGAGATGACTTGTATAGATACATATTTCTACATTAGACATATTTTGTGTAGTATCTGCAAGATGATAATATTGAGGCCAAGTCGCTAAAGATGGTTGAAACTTTTGTGTAGCATCTGCAAGCTGATAATATTGAGGCCAAGTCGCTAAAGATACGCGTGGCAATGTATTGTTGATAGGTAATGGGAGATGACAGAGATGAGGAGCAGCAAAGACCAATTTTTATGGTTTTGTGAAGCCTGTTGAATATATGCATGGATTGGAAAAGGCAAACCAAGAAAATACTGTTATGTTGTTATGAACTGATCAGACTGCTGATGATAACTTGAGTTCTGGCATAAAAGGGGAAGCAAACCTGAAGTAGTTTGAGGGGAAAACAATGTAGTAGGCAAGATATCCCCAGAGAGAGAAGGAAAAGAAAGCATGGTTTTCATTTCAGAAGAAAAGCCTCAACATGGCACTTAAAAAATTTCTAGAAGTTCTTTTTGAAAAAACACTGGTAAATTAGTTGGGCAATCATCACTGTGCTGAGAACTTAATAAGCATTCTGTCTGACTGTGGTCACAGCAGCTAGCAACACCTCACGGGATTCTTTGTTTATGCTTGATGTTTATTCTGCGGGCATTTTCTTTATTTCCTTCAAATGTGAAATAGCTACAAGAGTTTACTTGGACTGTTACCTGATGGGTACTTGGGGAAGGAACTCAGCTAGCTTCTGGAGCTCTCTGGAGTCTTGTTGTTGTTGGGTTGTCTGGATTTGGGTTTTTTTGGTTGTTGTTGTTTGTTTTATTTTTTAATAAAGCTGTATTTGCTATTTTATGAGGAAAGCATGACCTGAGTGTACCTAACATGGTAACATCTGTCTAAGTTTGCAGAAGCTTAAACTGTAGCTCTGGGACGTTAACTAGACTGAATGGGAGTTCAACTGCCAGTGATAATTTGATATCAAAATTGTTAACATTATAGAGGAATAAAAAATATGAGGAAGTGTCTTCTAATGAAGATCTGTATAACACAGTACTGTTGTGTAATGCACTGGGAAATAACTATTCATTTTGAGTAGACATAACAGTGTTGACAGCAATGAGGTAAATTGGAGCATGGTCAGCTTCATTTTACAGCAAAAGGATTTTTTTTTTTTTTTTTAGTTTCTTAAAAGCCAACTGAAAGTGTAGGTTTGTGGGGTCTTGACAGGGACCCCACCAGAAAGGGGAACTTGATGTTTTCAGAAGAGCCTAAATCAGAAGCAAGGTGGGAAGTACTACTTAAATAGAAAAAGCAGAGTGAGGATTCAGTTTATGCTAATGCTACAGTCTAGACTTGGATTTGTATCTGAGCAAAAGTCCTACTTACATTTCTTATCATGTTATCTCTGTAAGGCAAAGGATGTGCTTGTGCTCACCTTTAAGGTGGAGTACTGTGGCATATGGAGCCTGGATATACAAACTTGCAGCGTGGTGCAATGTGCTATTACAGAATCGCACAGAATCACAGAATGGTTGAGGTTGGAAGGGACCTCTGGAGGTCACCTTGTCCAACCCCCCTGCTCAAGCAGGGCCACCTAGAGCCAGTTGCCAAGGACCATGTCCAGACAGCTTTTGAATGTCTCCAAGGATGGAGACTCCACAACTTCCCAAGGACAACCTGCGCCAGTCCTTGGTCACCCTCACTGTAAAGCCATGCTGACTATTCCTGATGATTTTCTTGTCCTTAACGTGCCTGGAAATGGTTTCCAGGGTCAGTTGTTCTACTACCTTACCAGGGATTGAGGTGAGGCTGACCAGCCTGTAGTTCTCTGGGTCCTCGTTGCCCTTCTTGAAGATTGGAGTGATATTTGCTTTCCTTCAGGCACTTCTCCCAGTCACCACGATCGATCAAATACAATCAATTTTAAATACATTAACTTATACTGTGTGACAACGAAATATGCAAACAAGCTTTGAAGAGCTTTTCTAGTTGTGCTGGACTTGACTTGACTTGCGTGTCCTTGCGTGTTCAGCATTTGTGCCAAAAATCTGTTACCTGAAATCATGCTCAAAACTTGTGGTAGAACAGAGATTTGGACTTTCTGCTACCACGTATCAAGCAGACATCCCAACTCTCCATTGTTATAATGAAGGATAGTTGTTTCCCTTCAGTACAGTGAAGGTGGTGTATACATTTACATTCATGCTTGTGAAAGGATGCACTTGATTGTCCAGAACAGTGATTATGCCATATTTCAAAGACGGTGCACACCACGGTTGATACCAATCATATGTCTGGCATAAATAATGCTTCATTAATGAGGCCTTCGGGGCTTTGACGTGTAGAACGATTCTGGAATGAGGAGGCTGACTTAGATAGTTGGCCTTTGGGAAGGCACCACTCAATTGACTATAGTCATAGGTTCATTTGTCAAAGTAATACCCCTTCTCTTCTTCCTCTTGTTATGTGTAGGTCCTGTCAGGTAAGGAAATATGTGAAACCTTGACCACATGTTACTGGCTTACCAGCTGTGATTTGGCAAGATCGATAAGAGTATGCATGTTAGAAGTTACTCTGGTGTAGCCGATGAACAGTTTGTTCACAGTTGGGGAGGGGAGGAGCTGTGCCATAGCGATAATCATGTTTGATTGTTGGTACTCTCAGGCTAAATAAATGCTCAACAAGCTTTTAAACACATGCTTAACTTTTAACTGCATTTTGAGTTGGCATTTGCAGATGTGGTTGTCATCCTCGCTCACTCCTTATAGAACTGTGCCTTGCTCTGAACAGTTGAGAATTTAGCCTTTGCAGATGTGATAAAACAAGTAGTTGATGGTGGACCAGCTGTTTAAAGGTAATCATTTGAAGTCCTATGCTGCTTCTGAAATGCACTGCGTATGCTGTTCTTCCGCAGTAAGCTGTGAAGGAGGCTGTCAAAATGGTGGGGAATGCATCTCTGTCAATGGAGTTGTGAAGTGCCTTTGTGCTTCTGGCTGGACAGGATCAAGATGCCAAGAAGGTGGGTATCTACATTCATGAAAATGTTTATATTGACTAAAAATACAACTGCAGTAACAAAAACATTTTAAAAGTATTAAGAGGCTAGTAACTATGGAAATGTCATTTCATTACTACAGAAATGAAGACCTATGTTATTGGTATACTCAGATAAAATAGCATCAAATTATTTTGCATTAAAGTGTACATCTGTTAACATTTAAACCAAAATTCTTAACAGTATTTTTTTCCATTTCCATGGTGCTGGAAATGCCTTTAGAGTTATACCAGTTGAGTATATGGCCTGGAAGAAAATGTGTTATGCCATTTTGATTTGTATCATCCTGAATCTTTCATTCTGTCAGGATTCTTTTGTATCAGTTTTATAAATCCTGCTGACTTACCCATTCTTTTCTTCTAGCAATTTGTCCTCAAGGTTGTCGGAATAATGGAGCTTGTGTGGCTCCTGGGATTTGTAGCTGTCCAGCTGGATGGGTTGGTGGAGCATGTCACTTAGGTAAATGACTTCTGACATTTTCCGTTTATCATTTTCTCTGCTTGTTTGATTTACCAATATAGTGTTCAAATCTTCAGTGCCTAACAAAGCTGCTAGGAAAGTATCCTAGAATAGTAAATGAGAGCTGCTCCTGCATACTGGGGTTCTTACAAGTATGCGTAAGGAATAGATAGCTTTTCAATTTGGTTAGAAAGACAGAACTTTTCCACTTAAGTAAATTCAGATTCAGATTTTGGTTGTCACCAAATTCATTACTTGGTATGTCTCATCAGTATTTCTGAAATATTTTCTATAAACTGAGATCCCAGTATAAAGAACTGAAAATGGCCATTACAGAAACACTATCACTACTGCTGTGGGTTAGAAGCTTCATTAAATTTTATGGACATGGAAAATTGAAACTTGCTTCTCACTTTGAGGATAAGTCGGCAGAATCAACTCCAGGTGCTGTTAAAAGAGTAAGAGGAAGCTGGCTGTAATCAGGATTTGTACTGACTGACGCTCTTGCTGAACAACCACTTGCATTTTCCCAAACGTTGATTCACAAAAGCAGATGATTATTGTAAAAACTTTAATCTACCCTTCTCTGGCAGGGCCTTGTATGCTCACAACAGCACTGCCCTGATGCTAAAGGCAATAATCCTGAGACTGTAAAAAGGAAAGGTTTTTTTGTTTGCTCTCTGGGAGACTGAAAGGTCATTTAAACACTGCTTTTAAACTGGGTATTGTGGGTGCAAGGTCTCTGGGTTAAGTCCTCTGCATTTGAAATTTTTATGTGGCTGTGGGAATCCAAATCGGCTCGTGCTAGTTCTTCTGCAATGTATATAGTCAAGCAAACATTAACAAGTAATACTTTAACATTTCCATTTGACCAGCAAAATGCTTATCCTTTGTATTCATCAGCGTATTGAGATAGAGGGTGATATTAAAAGGTAAGTATGGGAGATGCAGAGAACTTACAAAATACTTAGCTCCATTCCCTGCAATAATGGTAGAAGTGCTCAGGTTCTTAATGTGAAAATAATCACTGTTTCCAAACTAACTAGATCTGCATCCAGTTTGACTTCTGTTGGTACAGATGCTCATAAGCAAATTATGGCCCCTGGCTTGTTACCTGACCCGGTGTGCAGCTTGGGGACAACTAAAGCTGTGCCCGCTCAGTCCTCCTCTGCCCTTCTTTTGGGGGAGTAGGGGAACAGAAGAGCAGCGTGTGAGCAACAGCTAGTATGTGGCAACTGTTTCCTCATGGATGTGGATCCAAGAACCAACCTGAATAAGTTTCAGCAGAATTTTTATTGTTCCCTCGCTTTCATGGAGGCATCCATCTTAAAAATAGCCTGTGCCTTAAAGAGCAACAGAAATGATAGTATTTTAAAAGGGGAATGCAGCATGAATAAGACTAGACGTACAGTGGCTGTATTCCAGTGAAGGCCACAATGCCATAAATTGAGAGGCGCTGCTTTTCAGTTCTTCCATTATGCTTTTATTTATACTGTCCCAGTGTGGTCACCAGGGAACAATTGTGCTAGCACAGTGAGACGAAGAAAAATGATCCTGTTTTGTGCTGAAGACATACTATGTATTTGGTGTCTCATTTCAGCTGTATGTAAACTACCTTGTCAACATGGAGGAAAATGCATAGCTCCAAACGTGTGCAGGTGTCGACTGCCGTACTCTGGTCTACAGTGTACAAAGAAAAGGAAGGAATGAAGCAACTTCAGCAAAGATAAGCTGCGTGTTCTTCATGTAACTCTTCATACAGATTAATTCTGCAGCAGTGGGAGACCTTAAAACAAACATGGTATCTAATTGATTTCAGGTAGCTTTTTGTCTTAAGTATATTAAGTAAATGCTCTTCTGTATGAAAGAAAAGTATTGCTGATTGTAACAAAGCTGTTATAAGTATCCAAGTGTGTGTAGTGTATGGTATACGTTTTCTTCTGTTCTCATTTTTCTTCATAAGCTGAAGTATTATGTCTTGGTTGACACAGCTGACCTTGAAATAAAATTACTCTTCAAATAAAGTACTTCAGAATAGACCTGTGCTCTTCTTTTTGATTTTTTTCCCCCTTGGACTACAATTATTGTGTTATATTAATGATGTGTTTTTAAAAAGCACATGAAAGATAACGTCCTTAATTCAGATCATCAGAAGTGGATGTTAGTTCAAGTATAATTTACCTTCAATAAGATTACACAGTTGCAAGAGGAAACTTGCAGAGTTTGCATCTTTCTGGAACATTGGCAAACTGCAAAGCATCTTACTAAAATCCTGGTTATTGCTTTATGTATGCTTCCTGCCCCTCCCCGCCAATCAGATTTGGATCTTGGTCAGTTAAGCAGTACTAAAAAAACCCAAAACACAGTACTTGTTCAGACAGTTCCACTGTTACTTTCTGAAAGCTTAATCCATACTGATACTCTGAAAGAGTCCTTATCTTGACTACTTCTATAATCATATTATCTGATCATCTCTCAACTTCCAATTACTTCTTTTCCTTATCCCAGTAAGATAGAATCATAGAATGGTTTAGGTTGGAAAAGACCTTTAAGATCATCAAGTCCAACCGTTTTAACCTAACACTGCCAAGTCCACCACTAAACCATGTCCCTAAGCGCCATATCTACACATCTTTTAAATACCTCCGGGGATGGTGACTCGACCACTTCCCTGGGCAGCCTCTTCCAAGTCTTGACCATCCTTTCAGTGAAGAAATTTTTCCTAATATCCAATGTAAACCTCCCCTGGCGCAACTTGAGGCTGTTTACTCTTGTCCTATCGCGTGTTCCTTGGGAGAAGAGACCGACCCCCCCCTCGCTACAACCTCCTTTCAGGGAGGTGTAGAG